TGTATAAGAGACAGATATATAATATATATATATATATATATATCCAAAATGTCGAGCATTTTGGTCAAATGTTGCATTAAATGAAAGATAACGTATGTAATGTAATGTGTTTGGATTTATATTGCGCTTTATACCGAAGTCTCAAAGCGCTCAATGCTGTGGACTAGCTCGCACAGTAACTTGCTTCTACCCTAAGGATATCTTCGTGTCTGAGCTACCCGGTAAACCGGTACCAGCTATCTCTCGTCTGTCCTTAATAGGGGCTTTATGAACTAGTACACCGCTGTAACCCCCAACTCGTCTTGAAAGATGTACGAGCCATTGTGTGTTATATTTTTTAGCCTCACGTAATCTTTGTGTGATTGGACTACATGATGATTTCTAAACTTCATCTTCCCAATTTAAAGTCCGAACATGTCATTAAAAATTGAATTTGTGCGTATGAATATTTCCACTGCGTATGCTCAGGTCTATCTGTTATTAATTCTAAAGAGGCACTTCCACTTCTAAATTTCGTCATCGTTATTATAGTGTCATTATTTTGATAGAAAAGTATGCCCAGAGGCCAGTCCATTTCACCATTACCATTACCATTACACCAGTACTTAAACCTTTTAGCAATATTAACATATGTTCCATCTATCTGTCTATAATGTAATTTCTTAGATGATGACATCTATGTCCTCAATCCTTATTAGACAGTGATAAGATGACATAAGGGTTCCTCGTCTCTTTATAGCTAGACCTATAAAAATACATTAAAGTTTATCGATTATAGTAATGTTTCACTTTGCGTGAAGCAGAATATTTCCACAATCTACTACTGAAAAAAAATTGTTGCCCATAATGTTGTAATGCAATAATACTGAACTGTATTGAATAATGAATCACGGAATGTCTCTGTCGAGTACAAGTCGTTCAAGACAATTTACCAATGATTTCACACATACATGTTCCCGTTAAATTGTCATCTCTCACTTGTACATTTATGGTAGTACCTATTACAATATCACCAGCATTACTCAATTATATATCGAGAAGATTATACGATTTAGAATAATTAATTAACTTAACGATAGGCCTATAATACGCTGGTGACTTTTTACCTCTTAGTATGAAAACTAGTACAGTATTATTTTGTCAGGATTTGTGCAGGATTCGTCAACTGTTATCCTATGTACATGTACATCTTGTTTTTCTGTGATTTGTGTGTTGATTTTGACCGAGCAAACGAATGAATGAATGAACGGACAAATGCAATAGGAGTAAAAGCAGAAAAAAAATTATATTATCCAGTTAATACTTTCGAAAGCAAAAGGTACGTGTCATAAGTTGTCCAAATAACGGGATAATATATAAGCAATGTCAGATGATAGATTCTCATAAAAGGTAACTAAAATCTCAACCTGAGTTTTGAGTTTGAAAATCGCATGTGATGTTAAGTGAAACTGGAAAATGATGGAAACGTGATCATTGGGTCGACTTTCAATGAGGCTCTGTCGAAGAGATTTTATTCATTTTTTTACTTAAGCCTTGACAGGTTCTACTTGATTGTAATTTAAATTCCCCTCGATGTCTTACGTGAATGTGTGTTTTATCTACATTTTCTAAGTA